GGAAAGCATGGGGATATCCCAACATCGGGATGCCGCCATTTCTTTGGGACAGACCTGTAGAGCGAAGGCCATCGGCGGAGTAGGTGTGTGTGGGGTGTGTGGCACATCGCCTGCAGATGAATGAGACCAACAAGAAGACAAATGGGTCGCCCTACCCAGAACTGGTTCAACTGTGGGACCTGTACCGATCAGTCAACATGACCAGTATATACAGACTCCGCCAGACTCCCCTATTTACATGGCCAGACTGCCCCGATGCAGCAGTCTGGAAAGACCCAGATTTTGGACCATTTTTCGTCCTCCAAAGCCCTTTCAATTACCCCAAGCCGTCGTGGGATCGCTGCCCCTTCGGCAGAGACTGCCCACCGACCACGGGAGATGAAGACCGCCTCCTTGCGCTGAGGTCATGGTGAATGGGAAGGTGAAGCATGACGTGGGGCCCCTGGCGGCACGACGCGGACGTGTGAGGTGTGGACGGACCGACACTGACCCATACGGTAGTCGATCGAAAGGTCGACATAAGGCATCATATGTCACTGAGAGCTTCTTTAAGTTGTGCGCGATTTCTTTTTTGAGTTCGCGAAAGTAATTGTTTTTTGGCGAAAGATCTGCTCACTCTCCTGCTACTACCACGACTACTCCTCCTCCTCCTCCTGCTGCTGCTGCCGCCACTGGCTGTTTCGCTTTGTGCATAGAAACGCAAGAGTTCGGCGAAAGCATAGGCGAATGTGAAGGCCTGTTTTGTGGACCCCTGCCCAAGCCAAGCAGCGACAGACCTTGCAAGACATGAGCGCAACAACAGTTGATAGTGAGTGCTACTATCAGCAGAGCTTGCTGAGCAATTCCAAAGGCACTTCTGGAGATGAATCTAGCTCTTCCAGCTCATTTTCCGCCATTCATCCAATGGTGGCGATTGAGAGTTCTCGCCAATTTGCCTTGTAACACGTCAACCTCGTCTGCAGATCCAAAATGGTGCTTGATGGAAATGCTTAGGCTGCTATGTAGAATTACTAAACCAAGAAGATTTCTAGAGGATATACCCCCCGCGAAAGTTAAACATGGAGTTTGCGAAAAAATCGCGAAAGTAAACTTCTTTGTTTGGCGAAGATGGCTTCCAGCAAGAAGGAATCTTGATCAACCACCATATTATATTATGTATGCATATATAATCGCGAAAGTAAACATTTTTTGTTTTGTACACACACCGTATATTTCGCAGTATCTTGTATATATTTATATAATTACAGCATCATTTGTCATGTCTGATAGTACAATGAGTCCAATTTCGAGAAACCTCACCCTGAGCGGAGAGAATCCACGGAGCGGAGAGAAACCCCTATGCCTGGTACAAAGTTGTCTTGGTTCATCAGTGGATGATTGGGATGATTGGGCTCATGAGGGCTCAGGGTTTGTGTTCCACGAGCTCCTTCTTGCTTGGTGTTGTTGCTCGTATCACTCTTGTTCGCGGTGACAAACGCCAGAAACCATTCCACAATGGGTGTTCCTTGTTGGGGTCATTAAGCCCTCTTGTCAAAAACAAGTAATCACAACGCAATCCATGCCCCGATTCAGAAGCTTGCACAACGTTGCAGGTTCTTCGTTCGAAGCATCCCAGACCAGCATGGCTAGTGGCTAACAGTGTCATAGCAAACGGATCCTTTCTTTGGACTTGGTTTGCTACTCAGGATGAGCATATTTTTTGGAGTTGCGACATCCACGTATGACCTTAGAGGTTGACAATGTGACCTTACTGCAAATACTTATGGGCATCATTCTGAAGGATCTCCTCACTGAGATGCGGGGTAGCCCCCGGAGACCTCCCAGGTCTGACCCGCTCGAAGAGGGAAGGCTCGATCGACCCCATCCCAGTCGGCCAGAAGGTCTCCCTATATTATTTAGATACAACCCTAGCCTTCCAGCATCACGATTTTTACAAGGTTGAGCTGGTTTCGTGGTGTAAAATCCTTAGTATGGGTACATCCCCAGGGTCGGAATTTTCGGCTCACTCGAAAGTTCGGAGATCCAACCTTCACCCTCTTTTGAACATTGCTCCGTTAGTCAAAACAACGAAGAATTGTTTTCAACCCCAAGAATCCGGGCCCTCATTATTTTTTCAAGGGCTTGGTCTGGGTCCCGACCCCTGAGAAGATGTTGTTATCTGAGTCCAGGACGATTGCTTCAATGGTTGACCTGAAAAATTGGTCGTGTCGAATCCCAAAAGAAACCACCACAATCTTGAGTGGTCCAAAAACCCCGGAGGGTTCCAAACCCACGAGATAGGGATTCAAATTCGTTGGATGGACCAAAGCCAGATGACTCCAGTAATCTGCCAAGGCAAGACTTCCGGGAGCCCATCAAAAAACCATGTTGGGACCCGGCGACCAACGTGGGCAGCCCGCACCGGCCAGCTCCCGAGGTGCTGCACGCCGCGGTGGCCGGCGAGGGCCGGGGCGGCCGTGTCTTGGACCGAGTTTGTCGACGACCGAAGTCTCTTTTTTCATGGTCTTTTGGTGCAACATGCTGGGTAAATGGGGGGGGTTAGCCCGAAAAGCAACATGCAGGGCTAGAAATCCATGCGTTTTAACAGTTTTTGTTTGCCTGTTCGGGCCACTCAACTTATCGTCTTGGAGTTCACTCCAAGACGATGACTTGAGTGGATTTTCAAGACACTCAAAAAAGACGTCGGTCTGCTGTCCAGTCTCTCCCATCCGGATTCGTCTCGTCTGTGCAAGTGCAACATCTCTGATTTGCCATGAACGTCTTGGTTCAGAACCCACGTCTTGTACTCCACAAGAGTTTGGTGTAAAAGACACCCTAGACTTCCAAGATGATTAAAAACATGGTTGAACTGGTTTTTGTAGTGTAAAACCCTTAGTTGGTTCGGTAGTTGGCCTATTAATTTAATAGTGGTTGGAAGTCTAGGGACATGTCGTTTCGATGCAAAACTTCCAACATCGAACATGGTGTACTCCGTCTCCGAACATCGACAGGTGACACAATGCAGACACGGGAGCAAACATCAATGTGGGCATCAAATTCCCCCAAGAAAGGGGTCAGCCGCGACCAAATTTTTGAAATGCTGATTGGGTGAAGGGCACTTCAACCCGGAGAAACGCAGCAAAAGAACTAAATCCATTCCTCCGTTCCTCCGTTCCTCTGTCCTTCCCTTCCCTTCCCTTCCCTGGCCTTGGCCTTGGCCTTGCCTTCATGTTTATCTCCAGCTGGTAACACCCTGCACCTCCTAGCAAGTTGGTGTGTTATCTTGCTTCTTGCTTCGTTTGGGTCCTTCGTTTGCGCCTTAAAAAAGAAGAGCAGGGCTCGTCATCGTCACCTCACTTCTCACTCTCTTAAGGCCTGGATATGGTGGATTTCCTCTACTCGGTGTGCCGCAAAACCAAGGATTCCGAGGGCAGGTCGGGTCGGCGCGCGCGACACGCGCGACGGGTGCCTCTGACAGGAACACATTGGGCAGACAGGTGGCCGAGGTGGCCGAGGTCTTTGGGGGGCTTGGTGGAGGGTACCCCCCCAAAAACTGATCCCCTTCGAACCAGGTCGGGGTGACCGTCCGAAGGACACTGCATTCCAAATGGTGGTATTTAGGGTGGAGTTCGAGGCTGGGTGATGAAGCCCGTGGAGAAAGCAACATGTCATTTATGATTCAACAGGGTTTCTGGAGAGTCCTTTCATCAGAATAATGACTATTAAATAGGCTAACTCAGAATAACTACAAACCATTAAGGGCCCATCTCGCAGAATGGATGCTTTGGCCCATCTCTACCGATCTGGTCGCTCATCTGGTTCTCTTGTTCGGATCCAGTCCGCGATCCCAGCCAGGTCGCTCATCCACATTGCCTTTCTCACAGGCACACCGTCGAGTCGGTCCCATCGCACACCGGGGCGATCGGGGGCGTCCCAGGTGGCGTTTGGATGGATTGAAGTCTTAACGCCAACCAACCAACCAACCAGCCAGCCAGCCAGCCAGCCAACCAACCAACTTTCGTTTTTTGGAGTTGGGGTGTGATGATTGAAGGGGAATTCCACCGAAACGGCAATGGAATGAATGCCACGAGCCACGCTGGTCATACTCAGTGAAGAACTCTGTTTGCGGGAGTCACCCGTCAAAAGCATAGTGACCAAGAGGCCATGGAAGTGGCCAGGGCTTCAGTACACTGACCCACATGGATCGTCATTAGCCATTCAAAGTACCCGAGCAAAAAACCTTCATAGATTTGTTTGGGAAATCCGTCGTTTGACCGTCCAAACCAGTGAGCGAGGATCCTGACATCATGTCATACCATGCATTTGCTTCATGGGACACTGTAACGGCATGGCTTGACGAACCATCCAAAGGGACCCAAAGCCCACACATCATCACCAGTGGGCTTTGAAGATGACTCATGCTTCCTGGACGTTCCCTACGACTGACCTCCAATTGCAGAGGCACCTAGGCAAAATCTCTGTCAGGTTCGCGAGAGATCATTGAGTATTTGCGGGACAAGAACTCAGGCTCTTTGGCCAGTCAGCTGTCTTTGGAGTGTCGGGCCGTCTGCTGCTGGGGACGATTGAGCAACATGTTGTTCTTGTAGGCTCCGGAGAAAGGATGAGAAAGGCGAGGTCCTTGTTAGTTCCATCCTGTTTCAAGACATGCATTTTCCTCCAGCACTTGGATTGGGGCTTGGCCTCTTCTCTAACGAGTTCAGCCCGCACCATCGCTGGCGCTGTTTCTGGGCGTTTCCGCGGACGCCGCGGGCGGAAAGGCGATGTCGCCGATGTCGAGTCGGGTGCATCGACATATTTCAGTGCACACCTTCAACTTTTTTTCTTTTTCCGACTACACACAACTGAGTCACAATGGGATGACCGTCATGTTCGGCCTGAGCATGTCCTCGCTGGATTGGTTTCGTGTGTTCTGAATTGGTTTCGTTCAGCTCTCGTCGGATGGTTTCTGACTGTGGTACCACTTGGGAAGAGGCACCACGGAGCCATGGAGGCATGGAACCGCTCAAACACAGCTTCCGTGGCCCCCATGGCCCATGGAACAGGTGTCAGAGTGACCCAAACCGTATTTGGTCATGATCATTTTTGGTCTCCACATGGAAGAGACTCAGTTAGTTGGGGGTTGCAGTTTCCTTTGTCCCTAGCCGTCTGTTCGACCATTAAAAGCAAGATTGAGCTGGTTTTGTAGTCTAAACTCCTCAGTAAAACGATGGGTTGTTGAGCGAAAAGCCATTCAAGGACCGAAGATCTCGATAAACTCACCACCCAAAACTGCCCTCTGTAACTCCAAATAGACTGAACAACTCCGAATGTCTCTTTTTTCTCGTCGTCAGTCCCATGACGTCGACCTCATCCAATATCAGTCCAACCAAATCAACTCCGACACATGCAGTCTCTAGCAGCTGGAGCTGTTGCATGTGGTGTTTTCACCCAAACATGCCATTTCAACAGGACGCAAGAACCACGCGATGTCGGGCGGACGCACGCCGCACACGGGCAGATCTGAAGCACATGCACAGCTTCCACGAAGATCCCAGCGTGGCCATCGCGAATGTGACTTCGCCTGTGCTTTGGGGGGGTTCATAGGCCAAAAATGCCAAAAGGAGACTCGGACCCACAGAAACAGCTCGTTTCTAAATCAAGCACCTGTCAGACTGAGTCTGAGTTGGATGTTCCTCAACTACTAGTAGGTCCATGGACAGATAATTGAACTTTTTTTTGGTTGTTGGTGGGATTTGAACGCAGATGTCAGACACGTCGGGGCTACTGTAAGTTCCCCTCAAAAAATGAATGAACCATGGGGCTGACTCGAAGACATTGCTTTTTTGTCTAACCACCCAGTTGAACGAAGCCGGTCCTTCGTTCAGCTGCCATGGTTCGTTCGATCACGCCTAAGACCTCCCCGTCTTCCATGTTTTTTGGTTAAAACAAAACTCTGGGAGGCTGCGGGCTAACCAGTGGTAACCAGGGGCAGGGACCTGGAGTTTCAGATATATGTTCATTTCACCGGAAGTGAATTATTGAAATGGCCCCTGGAAGTGGATCAAGAAACATGATTCCCCGTATTTTTTCATCCGTTTTGGATTCCTTTGAGGAAGAACCTTGATCAGATCAGCGCCCGACACTGCCGGGGGGACAAAGACCCTGCGCAACGAAGAACGGTCTCCATGACCCACTCGTGGTCGGAGACCTTTTTCAAGTCGGGTGCTGACCCGGCGCTGGTGACCCAACTGACCCGCCACACATAAATACATTCTGCGCGCCCATTGGTCCCCGAAACACTGAGGAGAACGCTGGAGTTCACCCGCCCTTGTCCTTCGGTATTCACGGAGGCGGGCCGCCTTGGTCAGCGGACCTGGTGTTTTGGGAAAGCGTGAGACCGGTGAGTGAGGCAGGCTTTTCGGCCCAAACAGATCAAGACCGCAATGCTGAACAATTAGATGCCATTGATCATATTTTGTGTGTGCTGCTAGGACAAGAGTGCTGTATCGAATTACTCTGATTCAGTGGGGTTTTCTGCAACTTTCTTAAGTCTTAAATGTAGTATGCCGATCTGGGTTTCGAGATCATCGAAATGGAGGTGAACAGATCAGAATTCTTCTTAAATATGATGTTTTTTGGATCCGCAGATGGTCTCAAGTGATCCAAAATGTCGTCCGGTTGTATCAGAAACATCTTCTATTAATGAATTCAGCTGTTGAATTGAATCACAGCCTGTTGACAGACCTCACGTGGAGTGTGTTTAGAATTGGTCAACGACTCTCAAACAAATTGATCTTTTGATTTGCAGAGCATGCTGAAGCACGAGAGCAGGGGCTGGAGGGCTAGTCGGCGTGATGGGAACCCGACCGCTGTGGACAGTCCGGCTGAAGAAGCAACGATCGCATCAGCCAGGCTAGTCGGACTCACCCAGTGCGCTTGGGTTGAAGTCGAAAGACCTCGGCCTCGCCGCGTGACCTCACCCGCGGTACTGCCTTTGACCGCGACCGCCGTACCGCCGACCGGTGCGGTGCACAGGACAGATGTCGGAGGAAGACCTCAGTGAAATGGCACAGGCGTGGGCCGTGTGGACGGAGCGTGTGGACCCTGTGGAGCGTGTGGGATGGATCCCCCCAAAGGGTGGATGGCAAGATTGGACACTGACCGGAACTGGGCTCCGTTTTGCTCCCAGCGTTTGGGGAACCATGAGCCGGTGAACCCCTAGCCGCTCTTAACTCTGGTGGACCCGGAGGAGGTGGTGGTGGAAGAAGACGGAACGAGCTGGGAGGAGGGGATGTGTTCGATGGGTTTTCCAAGAAAACATCGGGAGTTCTGGGTTTTCGGAATGTAGGAGACACATGGATATATACGGATTTTGTGGGGGCCAGTCTGACTGTTTTCGCATAAACTCGGGTTTGTGCTTTTGCCTCAAGCTGTTTCCAAGTCTTTTGCTTCGGACCTCAGGATCTTGAGTGCTTAGACGAAGCCTGTGCTGCCGGGAAGAAAGATGACAGCTTCTACGGCTGAACTGAAGATCACAGAACCAAAAGTGTTCCAGCGATGTCAAGACGGCGGCGGCAAGGATGCTCACTTCGGTGACGAATCTATGCCGTGAACATCACAGATGAGGTTGCGCGTGAAGACATGAGTTCAGTCAGGCCGAGCAACTGGCTGTGCGTCCATGCTTCGGCGATGCTTCAGTCAGACTTTTGAGATGCCAGCTTTCGGGGTTCCCAGTGGGAACGCTCGCACGTGAATCAACGAGCGACTTGGTGGCGAACGAACACTTGGCGGCTCAGACTCTTTTTCGCCAGACCAGTCCAGATGTTTCGCCTCTAGCTTTCAATTGGATTCCTCTATCTTTGAGCCTTAAGCTATATCCTTTCCTCAGGTATCGATCGGTGAAGTCCGGCGTTTTCCGCCCCCCCCAACTGAGCCTTGACTTCCCATTCCCCACTTCTTCGCTTCGTGACCGAACGAACTTCCAGGCCTGGCCACGGGCGGGCGGGTCCCCGAATCCGCCGGAGACCAGCCCGGACCCGCAGCCGGAGACCTTCGGGGGTATTCCGAGGTTTCTCACCAATGCCGATGGGAGCAAGTCGTGTTACCAGTCCTATGCTTTTGAAGGGACCGATGTGGCTTTTTTTCGGCCTCTGTTCACGGAGCCGCAATTGGGTTTTCTTTTTTCGGCCTTCTTGGCGACTTGGTTTGTCGCCCCACGCGCCGTCAGCCCACTGCTGGATCCTTGAAGATCTTCATCGATGAATGCCCGCAGTGTGCGCGCGGGACGCGGCGTCGTGGGACCGACGGTGGTTTGATGTTTTGCCCGGTAGAACAAGGTGCGTGTTGTGGCTGAAGTCACTGAATGCGCCATGTGGATGGCAGGGGGTGAAGAACGGGCTTCGGAAGAACGTTGGGGGGTTGGAGATGGTGGGAGTGGGAGCCCATCAAGATTCAGGACCCTTTTAGAATAGCTTGCCAATTCATGACTTTTCCATTTTCATAAACTATTCTAAATGTAATGCATAGGTATTTATATATTATATATACAATGCAATAAGTGGATTCATTTTTGGACCAGTGGGATGAGACAGAGTCTTGGTCTGGGTCTCACCGACCTTGGGTCGGGTCATTCCTTCGTCGGTAGGCGGGCTGGGCTTCTCGAAGTGGGTCCCAGTGGACACCCCACAGCTCAAATGAATTCATCATGTCTGCAGCATCATCTAAGGAGTCCCCTAGAGGAGTACACCGCCGCAACCGTCTTCTTGGCACGTTTGGAGCCAGACCGTTCCCGAAACCGTTCCTGCGCTTCATTCTCCAGGTATCCCCACCTTTCTGCAGCGCATCAGAGAGCAGGACTCGATTGGTGCGTTGGAAATCGCCAGGCGGGAATGACTGGCAGCTGGCAGGGTTGCCAGGGTTGACTAGTTGGGTCCGCGGGGTCTCGGATCTCGGATGCAGCGCGAATCGACTTTGGGGGGAAGCGGCCATTTTCAAGGCCCTTAAGACCCGGGTCACCGAGGGTCTCCCATTTTCAGAATGGACTCCCAGGGTCATGGTTTTTTTCGGAACTCGCCTCCACTTCATCCCCTCAAAAAGGTCGGTTTGGATGAAAGGACCCTCCGCGTCCCGGCGGCTGTTCCTTGCCGCTTTCGGGTGGATTACAGGGATTTCTTCGGCGTGATTTCTGCAGAGACCTTTGGGGAGTGGAGAACCGCGTGGAGAACTGCTGGCCTGCCTGGTGATCCGGACCCTTGAGCCCTTGGGGTTGGAATTGGTGGAATCTTCGGAGTGAGAGAGTGGCCAGAGAATGGCAGGAAGCTGGTGAAGCGACTCTTCTTGATCATCCCGTAACCTTTAAGGGGGCTATAATGAGATACCCCTTTCCAAAAATCCCTGGTACTCTACTGCACTTTCCAGGGTCCTTTCCCTGGATTTGTGGCCGGGTTCTTTAGCGGGACGTCGTGCTGGCGGCCGCCTGCTCGCTCCGCAGGCATCTGACCTGCCACGATATCTCGAAGGTGTGGACGGTGGGAGGACGTGGCTGAGAGGGGG